GAGAGATGCAACAAGTGTCAGATCCCAGAAAACAAAAAATCATCCTGCACAAGTCACCAATTTTGTTTTAACATGCAGTTGCTTGTTAAATTTTTAGTGAATAATCTCACAAAGAGTGAAAAATATGAGAATTTAACATTTTTTCCATGAATAGCAGGATATTTTATCTTTGCATTTAAGTTTCCATTGTTTTCTAGTATATGGATGAACAAGGAATGCTTTCTTCATAACTCTGACAAGATCTCAGAAGTAATAATCTTCAGAGGATAGCACATCACACAAAGACACAGCTGATAAAGCACAGAGGATGCTGGGGAGCCCACTGCAGGAAGCAGCCACGCTGGGTCATAATGACAACAAAGATGTGAAAACTGCCTTTCATTCCTTCAAAGGGGATAAAAGATACCAACAATCTGATGATGCAGCAAAGCCCTTGGCTGTTAAATGATCCAAATTACATTATGGATTACTGACATTGTGAAATAAATGCATAGGACTCACAAAAAGAAATCCAGAGGCAATTGTCAAAATCTCAACATTTATATGGTACCAGTTTTAATAACTTTATCTGATTGCTCAGTCATTTAAAAGGGACATAAAAGGACTGAACAAAGACTCCAGAATAAATATTAATTTTTCACAACTCCCTAATTTTCTGAAGCTTATCAAAGTCAAAAGATTAGGTGTCAGTATTTCAGACTGAGTTGCAGCTGTGTAAATTCAAGATTTTAACACAGAGAGATAGATGTATGAGCTGGCTACATTTCACTGTGGGTATTGGACGGCTGGGTACCAACAATGAGTAGAGGGTGATTATAAATTCCAGAATATCTTTTTGGAAAAAGATGATCTAGTGCAAATCTTTTCTGAGTTAGAAAGTAATAAGGCAATTTTAACATTAACAGATAATTCCCAGCTTGAAGAGATTGCAAACTTGAGCCCTAATAAAAGAATGTGGTATGGTGTTGCAGCAATACATTTTTTCCTGATATTGGAGCTAATCTTTCTTTTGTTAACCTGATCTTATAAGGATTAATAGGGATAACATTAAGATTTGTACAGCAGAACTCATTAGAAACATTTTTACAAATCTCCTTCAAATAGAATAAAAATATCTTGTAGCAACATTCTGAAAAAACATCAACCCAGCCTTTGCTCTTCTAGCAAGAAATTTCACTATTTCTTGAAAGATACAACTGTGAACCAATGGCAACATGGAAAAATAAAGGTAATTCATCTTTCCTGGAGCTTTGTCTTAATGAATTGATACAGTGCACAGGCACAATACTATTTTTTTTACATTTTTGTGGGGTTGAGTTTCATCATCTGTGAAAAATGTAAAAAAATATTGTGATTGGAAGCAGTGTCCCCTTGACACAACTCTTCCTATGAAGTCTGCAAATGTACATCAGGTTAATATTAACGTCCAAGTTATGTTGTTAAGTTTCAAAAGACAGGCTTCTGTTTGTCTCATAGTTAATACCACATTCCTCACACTCAGGGTAATTAAGAGCGTGATTTATACCATGCAGACATCTGAGTCCTTGGACATCAATGTATTGGCTCAGCCTTACCTCCACAAAAGCCTAAGGAATACAAAGTGGAAAAAGAAAAGACAATAAACTGGCAAAAAACACCACCTTAATGTCAGCTGAAAACGTTCCTCCAATGCCAATGAAGGCAATGCACATTTTTCTAGCCACAGACTTCACAATATAAAAAAAAGAGTCTCTAAAAAATGCTTTTTCTCTCTCTCCAGCAAGCTGCATGCCACCCAACCCTTCCATAAATCTGCCATAGTAGTTGTACATTCATCGTCCCAACATTTATTTTTTTTTTGGAGTTGGCAATTGACATGCTACAACCAACCAGGTGGGTCATGCCAAAGTGAGAATGCTGCACAAGGGCTTCACAAGCCAAGACAACTCCTCGTTCAATTCCACTTCCACTTTAATTTTTTCCAAGGGATTTATAAAGCTCCTAACAGAGTGAGGGTCACAGAAGCCAAATGTTGCCACCTTCTCTTTGCCTCATAGGCAACATCAAAGTCTAATCTCAGACTGCAACAAAATCAGCCTTTTCTGTGACCCTCCTCAATCTCTGCTTCACAGAAGAAAGTGGCTGGGAGACATCCCAGTTCCCACAATTTCTATGTGATATCACAACACTTGTGTTTTGCCAAAGCCTTCCCAAAAGCAGAAGAAAATCAGGAGTATGACTTGTGTTTGCAGCTCTTACTGAACTAACGACTTGGCTGGAGTACCAGATGCAGCTAAGAGGCAGATTTTAATGTTCTGTGTATGCTACTAGTGCTGTAGCTCTGTCACTATAGCTCTTTCTGTATAAATGCTGGTTAACACACAGTGCTAGAAATGGGCTATTCTGAACACATTCCTCCTGGAGATCAAACTCTCCTTGTGCTTTTGGTCCCCTGTGCCAGGCTCAGCCACTGCTCCTGCCTCAAGCAGAGGAGCACTCAGGATTCCACACCTTACTCAGCCCTGGAGCCTGTCCTTACCATAGTTTTGAAACTTAGTTCTTTTAAACACATCAAAAACCTTCAATCTATATTCGCCACCTCTTTTGAAACCTGGTTTCCTACCTTAACTGCAGTAGCCATCAGATGTCCCACTTCAATCCCTCCTCACTGGTAATACATAAATAAAATATGTCAGGCCACTAATGTGCCAGGAAATACGGCTACATTCATTTGCTAATTGAGTTGAGTGGATGCTGTGGTCACTGTGACAAGAGCCCCAAGCCCTGGTGTGCAGCAGGGCTGGAGCAGTGTGGCCATGTGGCACGTGTGGCCATTGGCAGAGGGTTCCTGAGGATCCTGCCTGTCCCTGCCTCTGGGCAGCTGTCACCCTTGCCTCTGGCTGCTGTGATCGACCCAAAGGTGCCTCCAGCTGCCTGCCTGTCACTGCAGCCAGCTGTCCCTTTCATGGGACCCCTCACTGCACCCCACCCTGCCTGGCATACCCTCCCTGCCTTCCTCCAGCCGGCTCAGCCTGGCCCTGTGCTCTCTCACCTCCTCCTTCAGCACCTCCACACCTCCACACCTGCTGTGCCAGGGCTCCTGCTGGCTCTGCTCCCTCTCTCCTGGCAGCCTCCCCATCACTGATCTTTTTGGAACCTGTCCATGCTCTGTTTAAGTTTAATTTGCCTCTAACACAGCCTAGTTGTGCTCCAAGGGCAGGTCTAACCCCACTGACAGCGATCTCCCCAAGCACAGCTCTACCATGGGAGTAATTTCAGTTTACTTTAAAACACAGAGAGTTAAAAGTATTCTATGTTTGACAAAGAAACTGCCAAAGAACACTACAGATGTACAAGAACAGCCTTCATCAAGAACACATTGGAGGGAAAGAGAAGGAGAAGGATGGAAAAGGGAGAAAAGCTGGGATGGGGTAGACATAGATATGCAGATATTAAAAAAGAAAGGAAGAGGATGGGTGAAAAAAAGAACATATTTAACTCAGGAAGACAGATCCTTTTCCAGAAATGGAAACTGAGTATTCTAAACTCCTTGCAATAAAAGAGCAAATTATTTCACCTTAGCTATATGAAACTGCCCTTCAGTCATATTCTATCTCACTCTCCAAAGATACACAAAGGCAATTCCCTGAGCGCAGAGAGGGGAATACCACATAGTATGGCCAGATAAGTGCTCGTGCACACAGCATGAGGACACTTTGGGAAGCACCCCTGCCCTTGCCCTGCAGGATTTCAGTGTGCAGGGAAACACTGCTGGGCTTTAGGCCTTTGCAACACTAGCGTGGGGCCACCTTTGGAGTTCCAGCAGGAGCAGCTTCTACAAGACAGCACAGCAAAATCATAGCAAATGTTTGGGTTGGAAGAGACCTTGAAGATCCCCAATTCCAACCCCTCTGCCGAAGGCAGGGACTCCATCCGCTAGACCAGGTTGCCAAAATTGGTGATAGGTATGTCGATTAGTCTGCTGCTCCTGCAACTTGAGAAAAAGAGATTAGAACTGGTGGGCTATGTACTATTTTTCCAGCTGCAGTGTAGCTCACTGCTCTTATTAGCTTGTAACAAACATCTGTTCCAAGATGAAATCACCTACAAATGCCTCAGTGTCTCCAAAATTGCAAGAGGTTAGTTTGTTAAACATTTAAACTACATAAAAAAAATACAGGCTTCATGCAAGACAGATCTGAGAATAGACTGATTATTCTATCTTAGAATTGCTAACTTCTTCTGGCTGCTGTGCATGGAAACTTCAAACCCAAGAACTTCTCAGGTGTAATTTCCTAGATAACACACATTATATGAAGGTCAGCTTCCTCAGAGGCTCCTACTTTTAGAAATAAAACTGACTTCAAAAGAAAGGAAGCATTTAAACAGTGTCATGGCAATATGGCTTATTCAATTATTAACTAGCTGATTTATTTTTAATTGCTCGTGTACCTCTTCAAACTCAGCCCAGGTCAGCCATGAAAGAGAGCAGCTACCAGACGTCTGGCAGCTGCAGAGCCTGCACAGGGTGGACACGGATCTCCCAGCCAATGGATGGGGGCTCAGATCAGAGAAAACATCAGCACAGATGGCACAGCTGGGTGCCCGTGACTGGCCTCCCTGCCACTCACAGCAGAGTGGCTGAGGGCGTGTTTCTGAACCACTCTCTTACCCCTAAAGGTGGTCTCTCCAGGTCAGGGATGAGGCACATTGGTGGGGCAATGAGGGGAAGTTTGCACTGCTGCTGCCCATGCTGTATCTGCTCTACAAATAAATAGAGGACTTTAGTCTCCAGGGCTGTCAGTTTGGCACCTTCCATGTGCACAAAAGACACTTTTGTTTGTTTGCTTTTATTTTCTTAGAAACAACCACCCAAAAAGTTATATGCAAAGCTTAGTATGGCAAATCAAAATAAATCAAATTTATTGTGTGAGAGCACCTAAAATCCCACAACTTCCACTTGCTTTCTCTTTCTTTTGGGTGTTCTACTTTTAATTGTGATAAGAATAAAAGTTATGGACCTCTTTCGGTGTTTCTTGATGACAACGGTTGCTGTTCCACCACAACTCCAATGCTGCCACCAAGCAAGCAAGAAGAAGGCCTATTGCTAAAATGCAGAAAACTCCTGCAAAACTGTGCAGCTTGAGTGCCTTCCCATCTGTCTGTGCATTGGTGTGGCTATTCAGGTCACAACGTCCCATCCGTGGCCACCACTTCTGTTTAAGAACATCCAAATCTCCACTTTCTTGCAACTCTAGGATCCTGCAGAAATTTCAAGAGACAAATATTATTTGCAATGATATTTTTACAGGTTTTTTTTTTTGTCTTTTCCTTACACTTCACAGCTCTTAAATCTACTATCCCAGAATTCAAAATTCCACCCCCCTCCACCACCAGAGTGTTGTAATTTTCATCTGCAACTCCCTTATACCAAGATTTCTTTCTACTCACAGCAACAGGTAAACTCCACTGGGTAACTTTAGGAAAAAAAAGACTGTCAAAATTCCACTGCAATGCAAACAGCATTTCCAGGGGAAATCACCACATTCCAGATTCCAGTCAGTTATGCCTGATCTGGCTACATTCAGCTGCAGCAGCTGGTCCCACTAGTGAAATGTTCAACCCACTCCACTGCTGCTCTCCTACAATAATTCCAAAAATATATGAGGCTAAACATGCTACTGTTTGTGCACCATTTAGTATAAATCTGTTTAAGCAGCGACCAACTCATTTATTTTAGTAAATGTAGTTTATTCAAAAGGATTTTATTCAATGCTGTTACTTAATGCCTGAATTACTGTGTTAACAGTTGCTAATTAATCATTGTTTTGTCTCTTGTGAAGTGTCCCATCTCTGCATGAATGATTCATTTTGGATTTGGTTTGATAAGAGTTTTAGCTGTTTACTAACAATCTTTTCTCTTGAGGCAGCTTTGTCTCTAGTTATGCAGCTGGAATTTTGCTCCTTTTTATAAATGAGAAGCAAGATGAGGCAACCCTGCTTCAGATCCCTGCCAGGAGCTGAGCCACGCGCTCACCTTCTGCTAAGGGCACACATCCCTGCACAGCTGTGTGTCTTCATTTCAGGGTGCACATTCACATGGACAAGAAATACCCAGCTGGTAGCTCAGAGATCACTACACAGCATTGTTTTATAGTCTTCTGGTCTTGTCAATCCCATGCAATTCTTGTTTCCCTGCACCATCATGAATCTTCGAGCTGTCCCTCCACCCCAAAGAATAACACAGGCCACTGCTGCTTGCTTACTCCAGGGAGCAGCACACGGCTTCAGAGCCTGCAGAACGTGGCATGAGCTCAAGATGTCTCCTCAGCCTCTCCTCCACCTCTCACCGAGCTCTGAGGACATCAGTCCTCTGCCAGAGGCAGTGCTGTCTGAAGGTGTGAGGCCACATGTCACCTCCAGTCCCCTCCTCCCAAACCAGATGCACGTGGAGCAGCAGCAGCTTTGTTGGAGCTTGGACTCTAACCTCTCTGCTGTCATGTATTCATTGTTCCTTAATAATTAAGTGCCAAAATTAACGTGAACAGTTGTTGGCTATAGACAGAAATCCTATAAAATGAGCTTTGTTTCAGTTTACCTCTGGGAGAAAAGATCTCTGTAGGGACTTCCATGCTGGAGTGCTATCCCATATCCTTTGCTGCTGATGCTGTTTCCAATGACTGTCACAGAGCATTCATCATCTGTCAGTGCAGCATATTCCACTACTGTCACATCCCACAGGAAAGCATAATTTCCTTTCTTTGCCTGTAAATACAGCATGAATACGACACAGTCTAAACTAAACTGCATTTCTAGGTAAGACAAAACCTAAGCTAGCAAACAAATCCAAATCTTGCCACAATTGCTTGGTGGTATTTCATTAGGTCACAGTTTATATGTAGACCTTCAACATCTTAATAAATTTCTATCAGTTTTCTCTCCCAGCAGGACATCGCTTACTTCAAACCTTGCTAAAATATCTTCCTTTTTTCAGTATGCACATAGGATAGCACAGCCATCTAGAAGTGTAGGTGAGGCTTATGTAAAAGGCTATTAATTATAAATGAAAGCTATTGCTTTGGATGGTGACATTTGATGCATGTTTTGTAGGAGACATGGAATGTGACTGGTTCCATACATTTTAGTGACAAGACTGGCATAGTATAAGCATTAAATGATGAGTATCAAGGGCACCAAAACTGTAATTTTTCAGCTTTGCTCATATAAACATGTAAATAAACAAATTTCCCTTACAAGTAAACACAGCTCTACTGAGAGCTGTTAGTCCTGTAACAAAAGGCACACACTGAGCTGAAAGAGTTCCCTCTTTTCTTTATAGGTAAGAAGATTCACAAGTATGTACTACTATTTCAATTTTGGGATAAATATTCTTTTAACACACATCCATGCAGATATCTTTAAATATCAGCTTTAATTGGGACTGAAACCAAGGCCTGCACACAGTGTAGATAATGCATGTAAATCACCTTACTTAAGACATAAGAAACACATTTGGATAGGGATTCAGTATAGTAAAATAAAATGTAATTTTGTTGGTTAAAGTAACCATTGGTTGCCTAATATATTTAAGTAGCTGAAGTCCTGTATATATTTCTTTATACATTATGGGAACTGATTCACAAAGCTCCCCTAGCAAATGGCTGTAGCTCTGGCACAGAATTAGTTCATCCTTCCAGGTATTTTCTAAGCTTAGTTTTGAATTCACCTGTAAGTTTGTAAGACTCCATCAGTTATTTCATTACAATGGATTCCTCAGTTGAGAAATAAGTTACTTCATCGTAGTTTGAAATAAACCATACCTTTCTGAAGTCCCTTACAGTTGCTTACACATGACAGTAAATCAAATGGGTGAGGTATCTTCCAGGAGGCAGAATTCAGGGAAACAAAGATTAAAATAATATTGCCTAGACTTTCTGTAAGGTACTTGCTGTAATCCACCCTGATTCCCTTTTATCTACATCGAGGCAAAGATCCACAAATTCATTTGTTTCTAGGTTAAAACAGAGTAGAAATGTTATAGCCTTTCTTTTTGGTCAGATGTGAAGGAGTCTGTACACTGAACCCTTGGAAAAAATTATTTTTATTACTCAGCCACACCCTGTTCCATGGTAAATAATAATACATAGGATTTTGCTACCTGTTATAGGAAACTGTCAGCATTAAAAATAAGTCCTCAGTGTATCAAAAGCAGCAGCACTTGTTACTGTACACAGAATTTATTCAAAATCCGTAATATTAGAGAACAAAAATCCTGCCTGATGGATATACTGAAATCGGACACCCCAGAAAGACTTGGCCTAATTCACTATGGTAAAATGTGTTTTACATTTGTCTGGGTATTTTTAAGCTAGTTGGTTGAATTTTAGATTTCTCTTTTTTTTTTTTTTTTTTTTTTTTTTTTTTTTTTTTCATTTGGATTTGTATTTTTTTAGTTTGGGATTTTGGTGGGTTTTTGTTGTTGTTGTTGTGGTTGTTTTTTGGGCGTCTTTTGGTGGTTTGTTCATTTTAAAGGGCTGTATTTATTTTCTGTTCTTTCAAAACTGGCCAGCAAATAATATTTTCACATTTACAATTTAGAAAAGAACACTGACAACACAATACATTCCTTATCTATCTCTTAGTAATACTTGAAGAACACGATGTTCCTCAAATATTTGATTTCTATTACAATGCACTGGCTAAAGAAGAAAAGCAATTATTGAGTCTACTTTTCAATCCTCAGTTTTCTGTATGTTATCTTATATACAAGGGCTTTGTACACTGACTTTCAATACTGTTCAGCAGATCTTTTGTAAAGGTCTACTTCTCTTGTGTTTGCAGTGCTGCTATCCTAAATCACATTCTGCAACTGCAAATGGTCAATAAACCAAGTCTGCCAGATCTCTTCACATCTATTTTATATATTTTTAATGACATAAATAGCCTATCCAATGTCATCACATCTGCAGAGCATTATTTCTCTGACAGCCTGATCATTTTAGCACAATCAGGAACCTGACTTTTAAACTCTTGGTTGTGCATGTGTCTCAGCTCCCAGAAATCCTGGGTGCAAGGCTGTGTCCCCTCCTTCAAAATCCAGGATCTGCAAAGATCCCTTTTTCCTAAGGGAAGATTTAGTTCTTTCCAAACTTCTTCCACTTGTGAAATTTTCCTCCCTGAAGAGTGAAGACCTCATACTATTAGTGTGTTCGTTGTGTGGAAAGTTTTCTTGTAACAAATGTTTAGTTGCTGTCTAAATTCAGCATCCTTCACTTCCCTGTTAATATCTGTTGTGACAGCTAAGCAGTATCATTTGTTCAATTTAAGGAAAAGCTGTCAAACTTTGAAAAACATATGTACAAGATACATAAGTGCATACATGCATGTGTGTTTGAAGTAGGCTGACTTTTTATATACCTTCACTAGGCAAGCAGTAAAAGCCAAATAAAATAAAACTGACATTTATTTTCAGTGAAAAAATCTACCTCAAATTTTAAATGTGGTTTAAGCATTTTTCTTTTTTTTTTTTTTTTAATGAAAGACTCCATTTTTTCATAGAGTCTTTAAGGGGCATGCCTGCCCCTTAATTTCCAGGCCATGAATGTAGGATGACTGGTGAAAGGGCCTGTGCACACGCCAGCTGAGAACAGGTGAGATAGCTTGAGTAAAAAAAAAAAGACTGAAATAAACATAGAATAATGAGCTCAAATTTATACTTCATTCTTCTCATTGTATTTCATATTTTGCTTCTTTGCTATGGCCTTACTGTGACTCTCAGCATACAGGCATGCCGCACAACAAACTAAAAATCACTTGGTTTAATTTTCAGAAACCTCTTTATCAGAAAGATAAGATATTTAAGAAAACAGATTTAAGAAAAAGAGCCTCTGGGCAAACCTTTTATTAAAAATATTTATTCTTTGCAATCCTAAAATAATTAAAAGGCCAAAGAAGATGGCTTCTTGAAAAGACAAGGGACACAAAGAAAATAATACTCCATCAAAGCAGTAAACAACCCCATAATGTCACTCTTCAGCACAGATGGAGATAGAGGAATATTGTTCAAAGGGTCCTGCCTTACTGATGGTTAAACAATGTTGCTTCAAAGAAAGCATGATAATAAATAATAATAACATAAAAAAATATTGATTCCAGAGTAATCACTGATATATCTGTGATTTAACTGAAATTTTTGAACAAGCTATCATACTTAAGACAGAAATGTCAGATAATGCAAAATTCATCATTAATTTACTGCCAGTACAGAGTGTCAGTGTAGCTGATCCCATTATATGGCTGGCACCACAGAAATATCAAAAAGTGACCTTTACATTGGCAGTAGTGGAGTAGTTCAAAACGACTGTTGGATAACATTTATTATCTATAAAAAAGTGCTTTAAGAGAAGACACATAGTTCAAATAAAAAGAAGAACATGCCATTTGATCCTGTTGAAATGTTTCAAACATTAAAATAATTAAGGAACCACTACAGGATGCAATAGATTCAGGTTTAAGGAAGCATTTGCTTTTGCTTCAAAGGCTGATCGGTCAAGAAATGAAGAAATTTATGAAGCTCTATGAGAGTAATCACAATTTACAATATCAAATTCATTGTGGACAAAGTAGTTTCTTAAAAATTGTACTAAATGAACTTTTAAACTACTTCTATTCTCAAAATTAGAATGAAGAGAGAAGATCACTCTGATTTAATGCTCAGTGATCATTAAGGAAGCTAAAAAGAGAATGAGAAAATTCTTACTGTGCTATTGCCTAAATCAATGATGCATTCTCATTTTGTGGTCTACTTGGTTTTGATCGCTTTTCATCAAAAGTGATACGCAGGAAGAAAAGAAACAATTCAGAGACATTCTGGCACCAAATTAATTGGACAGGGGAACAAACAACCTCAACCAAAGCAGGGCATTATAAAATGCAATAATGAGTTTAATTCTCCTATCTGTATTTATAGCAGATGCAGTATCACATGGGGATCATATTACTTCATTCTTTCAAAGCAAAAATGGGTGCTCCCAAAGGAAATAAAAACCACAAGTTATTATGTATGTTGGTGCAATCAATAATTACCCTGATTGCCAGTGTATGTAAAGCAAACAGTTCCCTGAGATCCTGGCTCTAGAAACTTTCCAGTGACAGCATTAGTCAATGCTCATCTGTGATAGTCCCAGACAGCTCAAAGTGGCAAAAGAGCATTTTCTATGGGCTGGTGGTTTGTGTGGTTTCTGCCTGTGCTGTGCAGAGGTACTGCTAAATAGGAGGAGGTTTTCCATCTTCAATGTCCACTTTCAACTACCTTGGGAATACAGCAAAAGCAACCTCCTCCCCACACCCTTGGCTCTCAGGAGTCCTCCTGTCACTTATGTGGCACTGAAGTGCATTCCTGCCTTTTCCGTGGCTCTCCCAGTGCTGCACAAGCTGTGCCTTGCCCATGGGAGATGGTCACTGCGGCTGCAGGGACCCTGCTGTGTCTGAAGAGACATCTCTGCCATGGCAACCAAGCACCATGAAAGCTCACATGACTTTCTTCCACTGCCATCCCTTTGTTTTCAGACAGTCAAAGGGCCGTGAAGTGGAGAAATATAAATGGGATAGGGACAAACACCTGAAATACCTGTCTGGGGCACAAATAACCAGCACTCCCTGTTTTGCACTGAAGTGGCATAGCTTTGTTTGTAACTGCAGCTGAACTGTGATACTGTCTGAAGAAAATGGAAAGGAGAAGGAGGGAAGAAAGAACAGTAGTGATTTTTTTTCTCTTTTGCATTGTGCCAGGCAAGTCCTCATTCAGAAAAATACTTTATGAATCTTTTTATGCTAGAGAGATTTAGAGTTCCCATTTCCTATGAAACACATTTGTAAGGCACATTTACATTTCTTTCATGCAGCAGTATGTGTTTGTGGATAGAAACTCTCATTTCCTTGGCTGACATAATTTCTCCTTTAAAAAAAAAACCCAGAATTTCTAGCCATAATACTCGACATAAAAAACTTGTCTGTTTATTCAGAGAGTTCAATGAGCTAGGAAGAGTGACACTTAAACTATAAACACAATAGTTTAGTTGACAATGTTATTAAATATTAAAGCCAATTTATGTAGGTGTCTAATCAAATAGTGGTCTCGGTCATCTTTGGGGACTGAAGTAAAATTTAGCTGTTGACATTAATTGAATGAGCTGATCTAGTCATATAAAAATCACCCTACAACACTGAAATCAAACTTAGTATGAAAAGTTATTATCACATAGATAGGATGGAGCTGCCAGCTCCATACAGACAATATAATTGGTATTCTCAACTGCCTGCCAATCTGCAGTTACATTTCTGGCTTAGCAAATGTAGCTATCATAAATGGCAGCATGCACTAGGCTTACAGAATAAGAGTATTTACAATTCCATGGATAAAGAGCATTGCCATAAGAATGTTAGAAAAAAGAAAAGTAAAATACTGAATATTTTTCTTAGCTGAACTGTTTTATTATTGGCTTAAATGCTAGGATACATAGAAAAGTATTTAATGTCTCTATTTCTCCTCTAAATGCTACCAAAAGTGGCCTCATTTTCATAAAATGCTGAGCAGATTAAGAAAAAAAAGAAGCCAACAACCACTGCAGACTTTGCTATTGCCAGAGCTCTACCTCGTGCCCAAGAAAGAGAGGATTTTGGAGTAGAAGGCTTTGGGGAAGCTCAACTGAGGGATGGGCAGGGTGAACCCAAATTTTGACTGAATACTTGAATGCTAAGACAAGGGAGTGTCCATATAAAGATTTTGTCCAAAAGTCAAGCAAAGAGTTGGGAATCTTTTGCTAAAGGAGTTTGAATTTGGAAATGAGATGGCTTGCATTACTTGTGTTCACCCTCTTCATGGCACTGTAAAACCAGTAGAATTTGGAAACTGTCCTTCTGGCTGTTCAGAAAAGGTTTCAAAAATTCAAAAAAGAAAAAGTAAATGCAAGCCCAAACCATTTTATTATATCCAACATACAAAAGTATAAAGAACTAGTAAATCAGTGTTTCACTGACAAGAGTATCTCTGATCAAACATTCACTATGGTAATAAAAACTGTTAACTTGTTTTAGGGAAAAAATCGATAGAGAGATGAAGAGGATGCTTTTCATTAAAGGAGCAGCACATCAAGGCTTTCAGCATGCATCCCTTCTGTGCAATGTACTGGACGTGTTTGATGTAAGCTACTGCCTGCTTTTGTTGAGATTCAGGATGGGGAGCAGAGGGGAGAGGCAGGCTGTGAGTGAGTGGGCATTTGTAATGGCCAATACTCATTATCACAGGACTTAGAACAAAGATGCAGCATCCTAAGCTGTTATACATCAGTCCTTGAATACCACATTAATTCTCTGTTCCACAAAAAAATGTGTAGTTTTATCTCAGAGAAATAACATTTTGTTAAAACAGTGTCAAGTGAATGCATTTTTCAAAGTCTGGGATAAACAAAGAAAAATCTTGCATTAAAATTCTGTTTCAAGAGAAATGAGTATGTGTTCTGTGGATCCCTTAATTCTTACTCATGTTTCCAATCATGAACTCAGAAAAAAGAAAACAAACTCAAATGAGCAAAGGACAGGAGTCAGTACTGCATAATGTAAAGAATTACATCCAAAAAGGCATTATCAAAGCTCCCACAAAACTAAGAAATTTTATGACCAGATCCAAAGAACTTACATCCTGAAGACTTAGGCAGACCTAACGTGCTTAAATTCAGAACAATGACACCAAAATATGATTCTTATCTGCCATTAAGGTACTAAAAGGAATTTTATATAGGAACTTAGGGGTGTTTAAAATGACTGTAATTTCTTTCCTGTGACTTAACATTAACTGCATAGAAACAACATTGATACAGAAATTAAACGAAAACCCCTGTGATCCAGTCTTACCTTCCTGATGCCTTCAGAAGGGTTTGATACGCAATTATCTGCCCCATTATTCTTACTGATAGTCCTCCACAGTTCAGCAAATGTGTTATCCTGCTCCAAAGGGTTGGTCCCTTTTGCTTTAAAGTATTCATACACTGCCGAGTCCCTGACTGTACCATAAGATATATCCATTTGTTTGGACAGATCCTGAAATGTTCTGAAATTCAAGCGATATTGAGAAATTAGTATTATGTAGTACATTAGCAAGACTTCATTAATTAAATGGTTTCTTTCTATGTCTGTCACTCATCAGAAAGCACCCTCACCAAATAACATTTCCATATTTCATTCCTCATCAAAAAGGAACACAAAATAGTTAATTGTACTGAGATCATATGATTTTAACTACACCCAAGCTCTTTTTCACCCAGGTGAAGATTTTTTTTTTAGCAATAACATTCATGTCAAATATGCCACCGAGATTGCACAAGAATATAATGTGATAAAGACTTACCTGAACACAGGAAAAACTCAGATTATAAATCTAAACTTCCAGCCCCATCAACTTAATCAGAAATACCTCGTGGAAATCAGTGAAATTAGTTTGCAGTTATATCAATGTTCCATCTGACTCCAAATCAATATGAGTGTTTTAAACAAACAAATAAAATCTTGCTTCCAATTTCCACTAAGTCTCCCTTTCTCTCTCTTTTCACAGCCTCTGGTAAAATAGACATTTTTCATTCACACAGAGGCCTAACTTTCATTTACTCATCATATACAACTCTGGAAGTGTAAATGGGCCTCACCCGGAGTGGCTGTGAATGCACAATTTATTTTCAAATTGCACAGAATGTAATTCACTCATGTTTTACAGCCTTCTCTGCACTGAAAGGTGTAAATCACTGCCTGCATCAATGAAAACCAGCCCAAGCTTCAAAACATTTAAGGTGGCATCACTGCCATCAGAAGCAGCATCCTGGCTGGGCTTTTCCCTCTCTCAGAGGTTCATTCCCATTCCTGTGCCTTCTTCCTTTGTCCTCAAGTATCATCTCTGTGCTGTGCCAGAGCACACATACACAACACACTGATGACCCCACAGCAGCAGGGACCAAACTGAATCTCATGAATAATGGCTTATTTTCTTTAAAACGCTTTATAAATGTCTGACTTCACATATTAACAACATGCTTCTGATATAGCCAACTAACATTACTTGACATCAGTTAAACTAAAGCAACTCTGCCTGCCTCACCCCATTTTTTTCCCCAAAAACAATCTTCCAGAAACAAAAACTTCCTGATGAATAAATCTGAAAGGCCACCTCCCCCAAACATCCAGCTCAAGGAGCCACAAAAGCAGAACATTTTGGCTTGCAGCTTGTGCAGATTTCTTCCTAATGCTCCTGAGGAGCCTTCCCTTGGCCCATGAGCCAAAGCTGTTTTCCACAGCTGAAGACTTGTCACAGACAATATTTTTCTGCCACCCTCTTCCCTGTTTCACTGGGGACATGCCACTGCTGACACCTCACATGCCTGTAACATTCCCTGCTACACTATTTAAAGCAAAGCAATCTGGGCATATACACAATGCCCCATAAAAATACATAGAGAGCTCTTCCCTCTTCTCCCTAACATCACCCCCAGGCCTCCCAGGTTTAGCTGCAAAAAGTGCCTTTCTCTGGGACTCCTGGAGTGGGAGACCATCCCCAAGGGCTGCCTCTCAGCACACTCCCTGCCCCAAACTCCTCGAACTCACAAGCTGCTTCAAACAGTTTAAGTGGTTTAAGTTCTTAAATTGTGTTAAGGACTTTTTATCATTTTAAGCTGTTAAGCAGCTTTAAGGCTGTGTGAACAGTTTCTCTCTATATACATTGCACACTTGTGGATTTGGGCAAACTCTAGGAGTTCCATCAAACCCCAAACCTCCTGTTACTTCCCTAGCTCTATATATGGCAATTGATAAAGTACAAAATAAACACCCTGGAGGTTGTTGGAAATTCAAAATGCTAATGAAAAATGGGGGAATTTGTTCATATTTTCTTTCTTTCTGTAACAATCCTGAAAGGTCTATTCTGCTTCCCTAAATATTTCCTGTACATTCCAAGGAACTGTTTTTCCTCCAGTCTTGATCTACATGATTACATGCTGCATTTAGTTCTGTCTTTATTTTTTAAAGTAAGTTTCATCATATCCAGGTAATTTGCTTAAGCCCCAGGAATGAATTATTTGACTGTTAAAAGCTACATTTCTGCCTATAGGGAAAAGAAAGGTACTCAGCATACACAAGAGGTTCTTCTGTGGCAGCCTTTCCCACCAGGTTTAGTGTCGAGATTTTGGTGTGTGCAGGAAAGCACGGGTAGAAGGATAGTAGCAGAAGTATGTTTAACTAATATACTTTAACACAGGTTTTAGCTGGTAACAGCTTTACAAATGCCTACTGCTGATATCACTATTCTGTTTGAAAGTTTGAACATGAGGGTTTGGATAGTTAAAAAAAATAATTAAACTGGCAATTTTAATATTATCAGTATTTTCTGTTTTCCTTTATTGCCATGAAAGCTTTTACTTAGAAATGTGAATTTTGCTTTAGCTAAATTGAACTTTATTGACAATCAGTATTTTTATTTTAGCTAACTTACATTTTATTGACAATCAGTACTGCACAAAAGCACAGTACATGTTACTTTACGAGCAGCACAGTTTCTTCAATTCTCTAAGCATCACAGGGCAGAGGGAGCAAATCTGGGCTTTAAATCAAGTGCTTGCAATAACCAGACAAGCATAGAGGTGGCAGGGAGGGAAGCACAGTGTTGGCCTGGGTGTGGGAGTAAGGTAACCCCTTTAGCTGGTAGCATTTCCTTGGAATGGAAAATGTGGAGTATTGTGTGTTCTAAGGATTTCTTGCAGTGCAATGTTTGATGGTTAGGACCACTTATCCAAAAAAATCTCTCTCAGAAATTATCCTAACAGGGAGAGGTCTCAGCCACAGTTCTTTGTATAAAAAAAAAATCTCTGCTGTATTTCTGCACTGAAAGTGGAGATTATGCTCAGCACATCCATGGCTAGAGAAGTGGTAAAAAAATTTAGGCATGGTGGGCATGGGCACATACATGAACCATACTGGATGGATATGAATTATCTCCTACTTTTTACAGGGTGAAGTAAGATAATCACAAGAGTAGGTTTTACTGTTATTTTAACTTCCTCAAATTTGTCTTTGCCAGACAAAATCACTCACTGCTACTTTTGAGATATTGGCTGTATCTTGCAGTTGTGTCATTCTCTAAAGGCAGCTGCTGTCACTGTTCTTAAGCTTTATTTGTGCAATCAGCTGTCAGCTGGACCCAGCTCCTTTAGCCACTCAAATTCTGGTCTCACTTTCCTATGGCAAAGATTTAATGCATTTAATATACAAAATTATTTGCAACAAAAATGTGTAGCATAACAAGATGCCCCATTAACCTTACCACCTCAGTTATTGGATCTCACAAGCCATTAAAGGCTCTTTGTAAGTGTGATTAAAGATAAAGCCAGTAAAGCAGAAAAAGCCAATGTCCCTCACTTACAGGAACACAACTTCAATTCGTAGATAAATATATCCACGGTGTGATTGCTATAATTGACAAGTATATGTAAACCAATTGATTCAAGTAAATGCATCTGCACTCAATCTAAAGAAAAATGTTGTCTTTAAAACCTGTGTTACCAGCCAAAATATTTAATGCCCATATTTATGCCTGCTAGATGAACACAACAACTCATATGCATTCCCAGTGGAATTACAATTACTTCATGCAGAGTCAACTGAAGACTGGGTTCTCTGCTTGTTTTGTTTGTTAGAAACTTATTGGCATTTAAAAAATGCTGCAGAAGACAGGCAATAATTGTATTAGCACTTATGATTAGACCACTAGAACTAATTGCCAGAATAAAAATCCGGGTTAAGGTACACTTTTAGGAGATGTTTTCTTACTTGTAAAAGCCTCGTGGGGCTGTAGATACACAGACTAAAAATATGCTGCCAGTATGGGTTTAATTTACTCTGTTGCTGCTATGTGCCCAAGACTTCTGGATGAATAGTAAGTGACAGACTAAACTTGACACCAGGTGCTTTGAGGTAACTGCTGATCAATTAACTGAGCTGGAGGGAACTGGATCATCAGATGTGATCAAAGTCTTTTTCAAAAGAAAAACATGTTCCAGTCATTGCAAAAAAGAAAAAAATAAAATAAGTATTTTTTTTGTAGTGACCCTGAGATTTTTGCTCAATGCAGCATAATATTCTAGGTGATGGTTGCCATAAAGTGTACCAGAGATGATGAGACTTTTTAAGCTGCTCTGCCTAAATGAAGTCTTAAAAATGCATACATGAAATATATAGTACGAGTCCTACATTTCTATTTTTAAATTCCTTGAGGCTAATTTATTTTCTTTAAAACTTTTTTTTCCCGAAAGGTAAGAATTCGTTACATCTGCAGAATTAAATATAAGTGCAGTCACTAAGAACTGTTTTCTCCACACAATTATGTGAGAGGGAAATACGTATTTTATGCAGTGGGAAAACAGTAAACCCAGTAAACTTCAAAGTAAAACCAGATGAATCGGAACTATTTTGACAAGCTTATACCACCACTGTAAGCCTAAGAAACACCTAAGAGCCACAACCTAGAACATAAAATCCTATCTGAAAGGAGATTTATTGGATAAAGTTATACCCAGTGGAAAGCAATGAGTTGAAAGAGAATTCTGCCTACTGTGAGCTGCAGAAAATTGCAGAATTTTGAGCTCTAAAATTGCTGACGCCTCCTCCCTCCAAGGAAGAATTTTCAATGACAATGAGAACAAATAAGAAAATGGTGTTATTTGTTGCTGACCACATCAATCTACCCGTGGAGAGATGAACTTGGAAGCCAAGCACTGCCATGTAGATGACCCCCAAGAGAAAAGAGTCTGCAAAGCTGAATCAAGGCTGAAGTGGTACTGAGGTGGTACAATGTCTACATGAGCAGATCTCACCATTCAGAACCTTTGTCCTGATCTGAGTCCTGATTAATTTTTATATTCATTTATGAATCTGGAAGGCAAAGAATTTGAGCCTCACTCCATTGTTCAAAAATGAATAATCTTTGGAACTCCTGTTTTAAGTAAAATTTATGAGTATAGGATAGGGTAAAGCTTGTCTTCAGACATCAGGAACTGAGTTCAAACTTTCACA